AATAAAAAATAATAAACATTAACAGTAAAACAAACAAATTAGTGCTTATTATAAATAAATCAAACCAGTTTAGTACGTTAATTTCTTAGAAAAGGATTAATTTGTCAAAACAATACCCCTAGCGAGAAAAAATCGAACTAATTACTTGCCTCATAAAAATTTTTATCGGCCTATGCCATAACAAGTTATTTCTTTATCGAATGTTGACAACAATAAAGTTTAAATTATAGACCGCGTGGAGATAAATAATAATAATTATCATTCAAAACTTTTTTTTATCCTATTTTATCCGAGATAATTTTTTTTCGTATTTATAACATTAAGAACTTTCAAGGCCTTGTGGCAGTTTAGGAAATTAAAATTAAAAAAAACTTTTTCACCATTGCCCAATTTGATAATTTAAAAATAGTAAAATCGGCCCACCCTATTATCCACTGAGTATATTTTTTGACCAAAATAGACTTTGAAGGCTTTCTAATAGTCGTAAATTAAATAAAAGACGTTAGCGGCACTGTTCAAAATTTGAAACATTAATTTTACATTTTTCACGGAAAGTACCTACATAATATTATTATGTAAAAATGCATTCATTTTGTTCATTAAGTTATTAATTATTAAACTTAATTACTTTTTATAGGTAAATTAATATAAATTCTAAAATTCCCATCCAAATTTATTTATTAATTTAAACTCTTAAACTTGTATTTAGCATAAAAATAAAGGTTCTCATGCCAAATTAAACGTTTATAAATAATGGCACTGGTCTAAACCCATTTTGCCACAGGGTGGCCAACTACTTTTTAAGGGTAATTTGGATACGCTAATTCCAAAAATTACCAAAATTTTGCTCAATTAGCCTTTGTTATGAGCTATTGTAATTGTAAAACATTTAAATTTGTATATATTTTTTTTTAATTAAGTACTTTAACACAATTAAATTATACACATTTATAAAGTTAAAATCCATATTTTTAACGAAATAAAATTAATTTTTTAGCAAAAATTCAATAATTTAAATTATAGGATTTTTGCTGACAATTTTTTTACGATTTTAATAAAATTTATTTATCTACTTAATTGTGTTAATATTTAAATATTTAAAAATTGACAAAATGGACTCAAACCAACAGCGCGTGCCAAAATTTATATTTACGGTCATTTTCGCTTGCAAGCAATTTCTAAAAAAAGTAACATACATCATCAGCTGGTGGTCTTGACACACAAAAACTCTGGCAGATAATCATTACGAAACTGCAAGTATTTTGATTTAAGTTTTCTTATGCTTAGGTCAAGTGAATTTTTGGTCATCTTACATGTTGAACTGTTTTGGTTAGATGGAGTTAAACTTAGAGAGGGTGATAAAAATTATGTATTCAAAAGTACGAAATTAAAATTAGTTTAAGTTACATATTTATACATAAGGGCAAGGCAATGGAAAGTTTCCACCCCGGTTTTCTTAGGTGTAAAAATAAAATAAAAAATGCATGCACACGTATATTTTTAATGCTAAGGAGACAATCTATTTTCATATTTTTAACTCCACATCAACCCCCAACCATCACTGATATATACCCTTACAATTTTTTTGGGAAAAGGGGCCGAGTTCTTTCCCGACTTCACATGCAAAAACTCAGAAAATGTCGAAACCTGCTCTCATATAAAATATACATTAGCCTAAAAATGCAAACAGTCCCGACATTTATGACCAGTGCATTTAAATTTTAAATACACTACATTCAGTTAAAATACGAGCTTTATCAGATTTGAATTCACATTAATTAATATCATTGTTGAGTCCCTCCCCAAATTAAGGATGCTGCCTCCTTACAGAAACATTAAATTAAACTTTAAATTAATGTAGACCTTTTTGCAGCACTAATTGAATTATAACCTTATTAGGGTTTAACATATATATTTTGTATTCTTCTTTTTTGTTTAATAAAATAATTTTGTTTCAATTATCAAATAATTAAATTTGACGGTGCAATTAGCATAAAACAATTATTTAACAAATAAATTATAATAGCGTTGTTAATATTTTAATAATTATTCTACACGAGTAGACCCAATTTAATAATTAAATTTCTTAAATAACAAGGAACAAAATTATAATTCTATATAATATAATATTATAATATTTGCTTTACTTATTTAAGCAATGTTATCCTTTGTTGAACCCATACCGTAATTTATGTTTTATTAGTATGTTTTATTTATAATTGTAATTTTATGTATCGTTTAACAAATAAAACGTTCTATGCCTTAAAGATAAAATGTTGAATGCCATTCGGCTGAGAGTCTTTTTGTGTTTCACTCAATTGTAAACCTTGACCACTTCTCAGCCTTATGACATAAATAACTATTTCTCGATATTCCACAAAAATCATTCATGAAAACGTTGTTTCAGCATAGCATTTAATTATATTTATTTTTAAGCGTTCTATAATTTAATAACTTTATTATTGTCAACACTCACTACTAAAGCGATTGATTATCGCCTAGGCTGTAAAAATAATTTAGACCAGATCTACCTAACCTCACGTTCTATTTGTAATAAATATTATTATACGTTATTGTACGTTTTATTCTTTGTTTGACAAATAAAATTATGCCTTAAAAATAGAATGTTGTATTACATTCGGCTGAAAAGTATCTTTTTAAAATTATTTTAATTTTAGGCGGTCACTACGCGTCGGCCTTTATACTTTGAGCTGAGCAGAAAAATACTCATTTGTTAGGCTAAGAATCTTAGATTAATGACATAAACTATTATAACTATTATCTTTAATCAAAAAACCTCCTAGGATGTAACAATAATTTAGACCAATAAAAAAATTTGACTACTTTCAGATCTAATCTAACCTCATGTTTAATGTATTGTTTTACAAATACAATTATGCTTTGAAGGTAAAATGTTGTATGCCATACTAACAAGTATTTTTTGTACTTCGCTTAATCGTAGGTCTCTGCTACGCATCGGCATTCCTACTAAAAGCTCAGCACAAACAGACTTATGACATAAATAACTATTTTTAATCCGCATTTTACATATATTAACTTAGTATTTTTAATCCCGGTGCATTCCGCATCTTAAGTATACCTAATATCTTAATATTTCTGTGTAATATCTGCATATACCTAAATGCTACAACACCGAGTAATAACCAAATCATATAACCAGAACATGTCCATAAAAATTGGTTATAATTATTTTTTTCTAAACAACTTTAATGCATACCTAAATCACATTGAAATACGAGTACCTAGTTAAAATTATTCTATTATGCAAAATATTTTAATTAATAATAGTTTATAATTTATTTTATCTACTCTTATTGCATAATATTGGGTTTTTTCTGCCGCCGTGCCTAATAAAGTCAGTGATTGGCCAATTTCAATATTCACTGTGATTTGAACCAATCGGGTTTTAAGTTGGCAGAAGACGACTATAATAATATTTAAAATTCGTAGAAAGTAAGGTTAACCATCTGACAGATGTCAGATTTTATTTAATATTTTTGAAAATCATTTAAGTAACTATCTGTAAAGTAGATTAAGTATAGTATTATAATACTACGAGCCCTAACCACATAATGTTCGGACACTTCATAATTTATACAGAAATTTTTTTCGTGAATACTATCTCAAAATTATTAGAATTTATGAAAAATTCAGCTTATTTTGGCATATACCCCTCGAAGCGATTTTTATTTTTAAAAAGTTTACCTTTTATTTTTAGCTTTTAAAAAAAGGCTAACTTTTTAACTTTTTTTTGCATGAGTAAAAAAAGTTATAAATGGGCCCATTAAAAAGAACATAAAATATTATACAAACCCTGAAAATTTGGTAAAAATTGTATAAATAATAAGAAAGTTATAGCGATATATATATCTGCAAAATCTCCCGTTTCCTAAGAAAATTGCAAAAACTCTTTAAAAATAGCATTTTTAAATTACTTATACTTTTTTATAACTTATTTATTTTTTACCAAATTTTCAGGGTTTGTATAATATTTTATGCTCTTTTTAATGGGTCCATTTATAACTTTTTTTACTCATACAAAAAAAAGTTAAAAAGTTAGCCTTTTTTAAAAAGCTAAAAATAAAAGGTAAACTTTTTAAAAATAAAAATCGCTTCGAGGGGTATATGCCAAAATAAGCTGAATTTTTCATAACTTCTAATAATTTTGAGATAGTATTCACGAAAAAAATTTCTGTATAAATTATGAAGTGTCCGAACATTATGTGGTTAGGGCTCGTATATAGTGTATACACTCAAGATTATGCGCATTATTCAATCGGATGATTTGCGCCTCGTCTGGGGACCTCATCCTCGTAAATAATAACCTGCATTATCTTTCCTATAATAATATACTATTATTCAACACCCGCAATAAATATGAAACTTAGGCGCCCTGCCAAGAGTGGGCGAAACAATAAATTTCCTGATTGTTAATTTCTTACTTGCAAATGTTGATATAAAATACATCTTTATTTAAAAATTGTTATTACCTGGTGATATTTATTTATTTTTAGATACATTAGAAAATGTATGTATATAAATTATATAAAATAACTAAAAACAAATAAAAAACTAGTTATAATTAGGTCCTTCAATTCTTTAAATGAAAATTTAATGTGCCGATAAAATTCAAATAGCAATTTAAAAAAATTTCATAAAACTCCTCTTTTACCTTTTACTCAATTTAAAATAATTGTAATTTTAATTTGTAAATAATTGTAAAAACAGGTTAAAGAGGTTTTTATGTTTAAATATTAGGTAATGCACTTTAACATAGTAACCTCTATTTAAAATGTGTCCATATAAGAAGTGTTTATTATTTTTTAAAACCTAATTTAAAATCCGTATAGTGTTAAATACTAATAAATATAATATAATAAAATAAATGTTATATTCTTGCATACCTACATAAAAGTTACGCTTTAAAAGCTTTGTGTTTGATAACAAATTAGTAATTATTATTTTGAAAAAATCCTTACCACTAGAGGCACTAACGGACGGTTGCATGGTCATGCCGATTGAGCAAATTTCGGCATCTTCTTCGGACCACATTGTAAAAAATAAAAGTCACACTTAAACGTAAATAAACAACAATGTCACAACAAGAAAAAAAAAGAAAAAATCATCTCATGTTGCGTAAAGCAAATACTTATTATTTTTTTTCTCTCCGGGAAATGTGGATTTTGTAAAAAATAGTCGATACGAAAGCATGGCTTTTATCTCAAAAACAAGGGAACAAGGGAGAGGGACTGGAGCACGACAACGTGGGAAAACAAGCGAAAAGCAACTGCTGCAGTGTTGGCTGTGGCTTTGTTCGTTACCCCGGGCGACTTGGTTCCAGGCCTCCCTTGATCAGGCCGCACTTTTCCATGCTATCGCCTCAATTGGGAAAATGGCAACTAATTTTATTTGATTTTGAAGCAAATATATGTTTTTTGTACGGATTCTAAATAATTTTGTTAACATTTTGTTTAGTTTTTTGAAACTTTATAAGTTAATTTTTTATTCTTTTCGTCACTTTAGTATTAAACACATTTTATCTAGTCAATCCTACATGTCTTGACGCTGTGGTAAGTGTTATATTTTTTCGGCGATAGAAAATTTCTCAAGGTATGTAACTGTAATGATATAAACATGGTTTATATTATCATGTTGGTTTTTACATTTTTGGGGCGATTTATTATTCATTAATTGTTATTTATAAATCACAAAAACAAATTTGAACCGGTCATAAATTCTAAATATGGAATATACTTTACTACAAACTTTTTTCGATGTCTCATGTGTTTATTTTTGGAATATTTTTAAAAACTGGAAAGTCAGGAATAAAGACAAGGTGACTAAAGTCATAAAAAACTTTCCAAAACAAAAAAAGGATTGTCTAATATATTTGCTTATAATGACTACGCTGGTTTTGAGTTCGACACTTGAAATTCTTATTTTTGAAAGTTTCTTGATCTTATGAAAGATTAATGGTATTTTTTTTTAATATTATTATTTTATAATTGGGTTAGGTACCATATTTGGATCCCTTTTTGTTATTTTAATTTTTGTATAATTGGGCTTCTACGTTATTTATAGAGAAAACTGTAGTGTAATGCAATAAATTTACAATATAATGTGAAAAAGTAATTAGTTTTTTTTGTTAAAATTTTGAATTTTAGAATATAAAAATAACTTCTAGTGAGCTATAGCCCCCCCTTTAAAGTCCGTCCCTGCAAATGTTTTTTTCTCAATATTTCCGAAAAGTTAGAAATTTGGTATGAATACCTATATGCTAAACATACCGTACATAAAATACAGATCAAATTTTAGTCAGGGGCATCCCACACAGGGTGCAACTTGGAAAAATGTAAATTTACGAATTGACTATTTTCCATTTTAAACCAATATTATTAAATATTTATGTTTTGTCTTAACCCGATTGGAGTAGTAAAATTGATTTTAAATACGTCAATGGGCATCCCACACAGGGTGCAACTTGGAAAAATGTAAAATACGAATTGACTGTTTTCCATTTTAAACCAATATTATTAAATATTTATGTTTTGTCTTAACCCGATTGGAGTAGTAAAATTGATTTTAAATACGTCAATTACCTTGCACGGATGTAACAAAATCGAAAAAATGGGATTTTTTTAAATTTTGAACACTCTATAATATAGTTCTTATATCTCCAAAATAAAAAGCGCTTGCGGACCTTTATATAAACCTTTTTTTCTTTAGATCATCCAAGGATAAAGTCCATTTTTCAGCTATAAATTAGGAAACACACTGTATATATAAGAGGCTCTAGCTCACTTAGGAGTCATTTCTGGCACAATGTTTTTAGAATAATTTTTTAATATTTCAGGAGGTTTTATTACTTGGTAAATTTTCCCACCTTTCGTTAACCACAAGTATTTGTGGTAAAATAAAAAAGCGTCACTTATGGCGAATGCGCCGGGATCACATATTTAGATAACTTAATCGCGTTTGGACCTTTGCGCATTCTACTGCGCCTTGTATTAAACGAAGATAGAATCAGCAATTATTTTAAAGCTCTAGGAAGTTTTAGATTGTTAAGATATTATTGATTATGTTAACAAGGTATATTATATGAAAAATTGACAATATCTCAAAAACTGTTTTATAACATTATAACATTATAACTTTTGACAACGTTTTTGGATTCAGCAAAACGTCAAACCTGATAAAATGTCGCAAACTCGATAATTTCAATGTAACTAAGTACAAAATTAATAAATGCTTGAAAAAAATAGTATATACAGTGTGTCGCACTTAAGATGAAGACATCCCCATATTTTCGCTATTTGAAGGAATAAAGGTTTGAATTTTTTCACATTCATACATGTTGATGGGTCACATTTTTTAAGCTACTCAACTGAAATCTGAACTTTAAACTTGGCCTACTACAAATTCACAAACAGGGCCAGTTCTCGATATTTTGCTTCGCGTTAGAGATATCGAAAAAAGTTATTGGAAAAAGTTATTCAGAATATTATTCTAACCCCATATACCAATTTTTATAACAAAATTCGCATTTTTAATTTTTTTAAGTTCATTTTTTAGTTTGATAATAAGGGAGGCATGGAAAGTAATAATTTGATACTAACTAGTGTTTATGACCGTTAAATAAATAAATAAAACAATTTTTGGAAATTACAAATCAATTATAATTTATTAAATTAAGGAAATGGTATAAAACAATAATAAAACTAATAAAAATAAATAAATTAAAAATGCGAATTTTGCTATGAAAATCGGTATACGGGGTTAGAATAATATTCTGAACAACTTTTTCTAATAATTTTTTTTGATATTTCTAACGCGAAGCAAAATATCGACAACTGGCCCCGTTTGTGAATTCGTAGTAGGCCAAGTTTAAAGTTCAGATTTCAGTTGAGTATCTTAAAAAATGTGACCCACCAACATGTATAAATGTGAAAAAATTCAAATCTCTATTCCTTGAAATAGCAAAAATATGGGGGTGTCTTCATCTTAAATGCGACACACTGTATAACACGGCGGAGACAGCATACCAACTGCCTTGCTTAGATCTGCAGCCTCGGCTTTAAATAAGCGCTTTTTCCGCCTGCAGATCTGAGCGAGGCAGTTAATATGCTTTCTACGCCGCACAGTGTTTCAATTCTCGAAAATATCGGCAAAACCTCAAAAACTCAGGTAAATTTTGAGTTAGATGGGTAGTTAATACCTGTCTCCATCCTGTATTGAAAAAAAATTATATAAAATACGTTTATTTTGTCTCGTACATCAGTTTAAACTTGACGCTTTCAGTTGAAGGTCCTTTACACGTGAGTGAGTATGAGTATGAGTATGAGTATGGGAACGTATGGCAAGCCCCAGATATATTGTCATCCACTGAACCCGGGGTTATATTACCCCCTTTCCGTTCTCCTGCGTATCCCGCCAAATCACAGCATTACCTGTGTTTGTTGGATCCGAAGTTTTTACGCCGGCTGGTAGATCCACCCTAGGAGTTCGTGGATGACAGTGTCAAAGGTTAAGGCAGCTCCCGGAATTTTTGTCAGCCGGGTCGGGCCATACGTCCAGTTTAGGAAGGGTTTTTGGAGGACATTGAACTGACCCAAAACTAAGTACAATCCGGAATCCTCCTCAACCTAGGCCTTAGTAGTACCCCCATTCAATTGGTATTCGTGAATGGGGGGTGGGTATGTTAGTTAGTTTCTTACTCCTATCTTTGTTGGTTTACTTCCGGTTCGTCAGTTTCTGTGTCCGTCTCCGAGTCGGATTCCGGAAGTTGATACAGTTTTTCCGTCTCCTCCCGCATACGGTTTTTGTGGGAGCTGATTTGTTCCCAGCTGGCGAGATCGGTTTGTGAGAATTGGATTGTCTGGGCCAGGGTGTCGTGGAATGTGTAGCAAGATCTACCGACTTTTTTTGACCGGTTGCTATTGTTATGTCTGAAGGATATCTTGTCAGTACGCCCCTGTTCGTGATGTATTTCGATTGCGACGTTAAATATGTCTGATGCTGCTATTATTGTTTCTAAACCCAACCAGAAGCCGTTTTGTGCGAGGTCCTTTAAGTACGCCTCTGTTTTGCGTTCCCAGTCTTTAATATGCGCGTAGCGGTGGGGATGGTCAAGGATCGCATCCTGTAAGTATGGGCTGTAAGTCTCAATGTGTGTTCGTAAGTGGTTATTTAGTCTTTGTCTTAATGCGTATGTATTTATTGACCCTGTCAGGCTATTATCTAGTTGATGGGCCAAGCTGGCCACTAAGCAATTTCCGTCGGATGGCATTTTAATTATTCCCACCGAATGATTGCTCGTGTTTACTATTTCCATGTTTGTTTGGTTTGTGTTTATTATTATTTATGTTTTGGCGTTTATTTATGGTATTAGTCAAGTGTTTATTTGGGGGATGGAGTCTTATCTGCCTTTTCTGTTTTGTTTATGTAATGACTTGTGTGGTCTGTCTAATAGGAATGTTTACTTTCTGGTGCCAGCTGGGAAACTTAAAATTCCTTTTCGAAATATGATACGTTTTACTAGATTTTTTGGAATAAAATGATTTGTTATTAGACATGCACTGAGAGAACGAAATATTCGTTAATAACGAGGCACGTTAACTATTAACATATCGTTGAGTTGGATATGGCGAAAGAAATATTAATTTGGGTCTAAGAACTGGTTAAGTTGAATTAAAGAAGCTCATAACGTATTAGCAAATGTAGATATATTACACGGAGAGAAATGTATAGTAAATTTTAGATAGTTAAAAAAATATATTAAAATTTACTTTAAAAAATGTTTAGTTTAACAATATTAAATATTCGTCAGTAAAATATAAAGATTGTAATACGAAATAGTATTTTTTATTATACAATTTTAGTAAAGATTACAACACCAATATTATTAGATCAAAAATGTATAATACGTATTTTAATTTCAAATATATTCGTATAGTAAATTGATTTTACTATCTACAAATAGTAATATTTACTATATGATTTAATTAAATGTATTATACAAAATAATAAAATACACTATTTAGTTTGTTATGGGTTACGTATCTATTATATTTATTTTTAAAATTTACTATCTAATTATAATAAGAATTAAAAACAAAATTGGTTGAGAATAATAACCTTAAGGTTTAATATACATGGATATTTAAAAATTACTAATTATGCATAGTAACTGTCAATATACAAGATAGTTGTCCCAAATAGTAATATGTAATATAGTAAAGGGTATTGTAATTATGGTAATCAGTATTATACTTTTCTCT